GGACGGAACACCGCTCTGCTTACCGGAACCGGGGCGAGTCCTTGATGCACTCCTCGAACTCCACCGTCATCCTGCCGGTTCAGCCCGCGGCGCGTTTCAGCGGAGGAAGCGCATCGCCCGCCGGCAGCCGAGGACGCGCGGGAGAAGCGCCCGCCCCCCCGCCCCGGGCGCACCCTCGCCGCCGCCGCCGCCGCCGCGGTGCGAAGGGCCGGGCTGACCCCGGCCCAGCGTGGGGACCGCCCGCTGGTAGAAGCGGAGGGGCAGGGCCGTTGCGCCGCCCGCCCGCCCGCGGGTCTCCCTCTCGGGGTCCGTGACCTCGTAGGCTGGCGTCGCTGCTCCGGTGGGGTGGGAAGCGCGGTTTCCCTTCCCTTCTCCTCTCCTTTCTCCTGTTTGCAGGTGGGGGTGGGTTCTCGGAAGACAGGACGCGGTGGGATGCGTGGGTTTCTGGGCTGAGTTGGTTGTGACAGCGGCCACCGCCTCGTCCGCCAGCTCAGGCTAATTGTGTGGTTGAGCGATTAGCTGGAGGTGCAGCCGGTCGTTTGCACGTAGGATTGCCACCAGGTTGTGTGCACTGCAGGGAGGGGAGGGGGAAAAAAAAAAAAAAGCGTCCAGGATGCACACTGCGATTCTATACCAGCAGTGTCAAAAGGATTGGCATCAATCCTGTTACTACTTAAGCTAGTTTTTAATTTTCTGTACGCAGTGGATTTGCAGCTGCCATCAGCCATGCAGTAAATCTGCAGTAACTCCTCTGAAGCCAATGTAATCACCCAAGGAAGGAAGACATCTGGGCTTGTGGGTCCAGCTGAACAGATCACGTTTTCTGCGGGACATAGCAATGTAATGTGGCATGGATAAATGAGGCCAATTACAACGGGCTTAGTTCTGATCCTCCACTCATCGACCACCGCACAGAAGAACAGTATAAACCGCATCATTCACTGCAAGTCTTATACGAATTTAGGCCTGAGAGAAGGGCCTGAAGTGTAAATCTCCACGTTTTAAGAAAATGCATCCTGCGTAACATGGACCTAAACCAAAACCAAGAGTCAGATGAACACGAGGGCCAGGGACGTCTGAATCCACGACAAAATGTCATGATGAGGCCTTACCTCAGCCATGAACAGAACCATGATGAAATAAGATGTTCAATGCCATTTCTGTACACAAACTACAGCTGCGATTCACTTCCAGCCCAGCCCAGGCTCCCATTTCCATCTGAGTTCCCAGACCTGCTCGATTTATCAGCCACAGTCAAGAGTATCTTTGTGTGAGCAAAAGTCTGACTTACTTTTAACAGTGAGCAGATGCTGGAGGGTTCTGAGGAAGGCAGGAAAAGGAATTAGCTCCGCGGATCGCCTCGGTCCAGGAGAAGGGGCAAGGTGACCTCTTGTGGCCTCTCTTCTATGTGGCTTCATAAAGGTCAAATCAATACGATTTTTATTTTCTTTGGTTCTTCCAGCATAGATGAAGGTGTGTGGATGTTTGCCTGTGTGTGTATGCACAGGCTCAGGGATTAGAAATTAACCATTCTCTTTAAAGCTGAGATTCATCAGTTTCATTATAATAGAGTCTGGATGCCATTGTGTGAGTTGAAAGCTGGTTGGATTTTTCCATTCAAAACAGATTTCCGATTTGTATGAGAGGGCCAGGGATTTTTCTGTTGCTCTCCCTGTTTTGCTAATGAGTTGGGCGATTGTTTATACTGTTTTTAGGCTATCTATTGTACATACAGATATCGCAGTTCAGTATGTTAAAAGATGAATGAAGATTTTAAAATACAGAACACAGTCTTGAAGAACATCTGCAGCTTTTATTACCAGTATCTTAGCCTATTTTTGTCCCTGTAGCTGTTATTTACCCTCAGCAAGTGGCAGCCTGCACGCCTCTTCTCATAGGCAGGCTGAAATAGATGAACGCGGGCTCGCCTGAAATTCTTGTGCTGATTTTTGCGGGGACATTGACATGGCTATTGGCAGGAGCAGTTTCACGCAGGGTAAGGTTCGTTGCAGGTTGGGAACGTCGGAGCCTTTGAGTCAACAATCCCGAACTCACAAGTAACCCTAATGCAGGGAAGGAGAGCGTGGAGGGCCACTCACCGCCCTAAGTGCCTCGCCCTGTATACTTAAGGCCCCATTTTTTTTTGTGGGAGCTACATCCCTGCTCTGGCGCTTTTAGTTTTTTGACATGCCTGTCTGACTCAGGGGGCAACTGAAGCCCCCGGAACTGTGCTAGGAGTAGCCCAAGGGACCCATTCCCATTAGAAATTAACAAAAAAAAAACCCAAAGTGCAGCTCGGGTGGTTTCTAATCGCAAACGGTAAGGCAAACAAAGCCAAAAGACGGCTGCCTGCTGTAAAACTTAAGAGCTGGAGAGCAGCCGAGAAGGTAAAGGACAGGATTCGAGAGGGGTCTCTTCCCTCACGATCGCTGCCTGGGTCACCTTCACTCCGTCACTCGGTTTCCCTCCAGGCTAAAGAAAAACCCGAGGTCCGGGTGAGGTGCCCCGGGGTCAGGAGAACGGAGGCGGCTGGGCCCCGCCACAGCTCTCCCCGGCCAAAAAGGAGCGACCCGCCAGGGCCCTGAGGCCCTAGGGGCGAGCGGAGCCAGGCCCCGCCACTACGCCCCGCCACGATCTCCACAACCAGCCCGGCTCCCGCCGCCGCCGTCCCCTCAGGGAGGCCCGGCCCTCTGCAGCGGCCAGCCGGCG